GCGCAGAAAGCCCTGGTCTGTCAAAAGCTGTGGGACGGCGGCTTGACATGCCTTGACAAACATGCCAGAATTGTGCCCCACGAGCCAGGCACTGTTGCTTTAAAGTATTTGTTACTGACTGCTTTTTCCATGTACTGTGGAACCAGAAAGTGATTAGGAACCAGATTAGGAAGTGGTTCGCTTCTATCCTGGTTGGGAAAAGCAGACACGGACTGATCGAGCACTGCCTGGTTAAAATGGTTAGTTCAGTACACATCACGGAAACGCTGCAAGGACTTTCTGTGGAGAAGTCCTCTCAGGAGAGTAGCATCTCCGCACCAGTTAGGTACTCGAGGAGTACTTCACACGTTTGCCACACGCTATGACTTGAGGCACACTGCGGACGGAGCCTCTTCCTAGAGCACTGCAGACCTGGGCACTAGCAGCTCGGTTTTTCATAGACCTTAACTCATGTGCTGGCTTTGTGCTTACTGTGCTCACGTAAACGAACCCAAGAAGAAGAAGAGTCCCCAATGTTTCCTACTCCTAGTAGCACAGTCTAACTAGACAGGAATGATCTGCTCCCCTGAAACCTCTGCTCTGCAACTCATTCCATGTGAGCAGTGCTGGTCTTATTAGGGTTAGAGACTATCTCCACCACTCTTGGTGCTGGATGGTGTGAAAGCTGCAGGCTGTCCACTATCTGCCTCCTCTGTTTAGGTGCCTTAGGATCACCGAAAGGTGATGGAAATACATGCCTGAGAAGTCAAACCTACTGGGAAAGGGAGAGGGATTAAGGTCACGTGACACACAAATGTCACATTCACCAAAACCTGTGTGTACACACACCCTTCTGACACGCAGAAAGCCAGTGCGTGAGGTTTGCAAGTGTGTCTTTCACTCAGCCTTGGTGTATCACGGGCGCCTTCCCGTCGCCTTTGTACCTGCACAGAAATGACTGTAGAGCATATCAAAAAGGTCTTATTTCAAGTAACCAGACCAAGTGTCTCCAGCCACTATTTAGAAAACAAATGTCTACCTTGTTGCACATACAAAGGTAGGAAAAAGCATAGATGTAGGCTATGTGGTTTAGTGCTGAGGAGACAAGCAGGCTAAAGTCTGTCCCCATCTACACCCAGGTGAGCTGAATCTAACGAGGTCTGCTTGGTGACACAGACTAAGCATGCGAGGCTTTCTGAGAGGGGACATGGCAATGTTTGCCATCGTTATTTCAGAGGTGGTTTTGTGCTGGGGCTTTAAAACGAACAAAGCATCCTGCTTTGAAACCTTGCTTCTTTCGCTACAGGGTCATTTTTATAATAAAGGCATGTTGCAGATCTTGTGGGTTTCC